TTTGCACATACTAATTTAGCAAATGGGCTCCCCTATAATTCACTGACTAGCGTGGTCATCTTTCATTTCATAAATTACTATGCAGTTTTGTTCACTGTGAGTATAATCTGTATTTAGTGACTGCAAGATGCTTATGCCACTTATTTCTGTTCCATCCAAGCTGACAGAAGTTATTTGATAATGCACATACTGGTATCTTAAATTGCAAAAATGTAAATTTGAAACTTGTATAATGTTCTTGTGCTTTTGAAATAAAATATCTTGTATATGTATATTTAAAAAAAAAGGAAATAAAGTAACTTCTCGTAGATTACTCAGTTTTTATTTGGAGGCACTTTGGCACCTCACAGTTCATTTTACCAAGAGTGTTATAGTGGTGTCTGTCAGTATGGGAAAGGAGAAGAGCTGGAAAATGGTTGGTAAACTATCAGTTATCCATGTAGGCTGTATCTTGGTCATATTGTAAGGAATGGTAGGGTGCCTTTTTCTTATGTAAAGATACGCTCCATGTGAAACCTGTCCTAGTATTTTACAGATGCAAATTCCTACACTGTCTACATAAATTTCTAAAAGAAGTTAACAGTACAGAATTTAATTTTTATATGCCCTGAAACTGATCTAGTTGAGTGCATCTAGTTTTGTTTCTTCTTGAAGAAACTGGCTGTACTGTTTGGCAGATACTTTTAGCCTCTAGAAAGGGAAACTTTATGTTGTTGGTCTCATGTGCTGTGTGATACATACTTTAAAAAAAAAAGTGGTTTATTATAGACCTAAGCAAGCAGTCAGGACATCTTTTGCATAGATATGGCCAGTACTTCTTGCTCTTAATGTTACAGGCTGCTGGTTCTCATCATGTTCTCACTGCTTTGTTGAAGCTTTGGGCACCATTTGGGTGCTAATGATATTGCTCTTTATGCTTATTCTCGGTAAATGGTTTTTAAGAACTGATTCCTGAAAAGGTGAAAGGTAGAGGTAGATAGGTTGAAGTCTACTAACAGAAATGTTCTGAAGAAAATTAGAAGAAGAATCCTGTTAATTAAGGGAAAAAAGAAAAGAAGACATGGCAGTATTTCTTGTGTAATAAAAATCTCAATGTACAAAGTTATGTAGAGGAGTATTTTAACTATTATATGCTCTGCATTATGGTTGAAATCCATTTATTTTCTAGACAACAATGATGAATAATCTCCAATGTAAACTATTCAGATTCATAATACAGCATCTATGCTGTTACTTAGATTCTTCTAACCTATTACTTGATAAGGTGTTCAAAGATGTTATCAAAAATAGAAGTAGTTTCATTTCTGTGGCACAATCTCTTCTCTTTGTTTTTATCAGTGTTTTCCAGGTAGGCTAAATTGGAAGGTTCATACAGGAAAAAATGGCTTATAATGAAAATCCACTTCCTTACATGTGTCTCTGATCTAGTTATTTCTAATCCTAGCTACATTTCTCTGAAATTGCATTCAGTACAGTCAAAATCATTCACAAAAGTGAAGTTATGTAAAGGAAATTTGCATTGAAGGAGAGCAAGCTGAAATTCCAAGAGGTGATATATACGTGGTTTTGTGTTACCATGAGTAAGAGACCAGGTTAAACATGAGACATTGAAATGGGACCTGACTTTTATTTTTGCTGTTCATGAGATCAGTGTCAAAAAAGGAGTATAGTTTGTGCTGTATAAGTACAGGTTGTCAAACAACTTAGAGTCCATCAGACTTAATTTTAGATTTCTAGGCTTTATGCTTGAGTGAATGAGCTGCAGCAAAATGTTGTGAAACACAAAGTGGGGACTGTGGATTTCATGATCATTTGAAGTCCTTGCTGTATTTGTGAAGATGTGGGGTTAGCCTTTCTCAGAAGACCACAGAACCTTATATCTCCTCCTTAATTGTGCCTGAAATTTAATATTGGGCTCTTTGGGTACAAGAATTGAGATGTTCATCCCAAGGTGATGAAGATCTGCTTGAACTAGTTCATTCAAGTTCCTGCTTGAACTACGTTCATTTTAACAAAATCCTAGATGTGCTGCATGTTTATATTTCTTACTGGTTTTTCTCTGTGATCAACATATGGAGCAGGTATTTTCAGTAGCAATGCGCAAGCTTTTAAGGAAGAGCATCATACATGCAATTTCTAAAGAAATTCTCATTGTGCCTTCATCAGAAACTCAACATTACAGTGTTTATTTCATTTTTAAAATTAATAACTTGATAAAGAAGACAGTTTTATGCATAGGTAAGTTCCTTACTCTGGAATTTTCTGTATTGTTATACATTTTGGCTGGATTAGGCATTAGTAACAAATAGGATAACAAGTGTCCCCTGAATCGTATTTATTTCTGTATCTGAGCAGATGCCCTGGCTTAAAGGCTTGGCTCACTAATGCCATCTGCCTTTATGAATTACAGAGAGTTAAAGATGGAGTCGGTGCTGCTGCCTGAGTTTGTTTCCTTGATCCAGTGCCTCTGGTGTTAAATACTACAGGAAACCCAAACGGTCATGAGAGGTGCTATAAAGGAAGCTGGATATGTAGGGTGTAGCAATTCCATGTTCTGAGGAAATCAGTAAATACAAAGCAAAGAAGAAAGCATTTATTAACAAAAGTAAATTTTATCCTGATACTGTGAAGTGAGCTATTATCTTTTTGTAATGTATCCCTACCGGTGGAGACTCTGAATGCCTAGACAGGATAGAAACTAGCAGTCTAATGACTAAGTGATTACTGGTAATAGGTCAGACAAGGACTGTTGCCTGTGAGATGTATGCTGAAAGTAAGCTAATTTCAAAACCAATCACATTCCACTGCTGCAGTTCGGGGCAGTTAGCTGAGAGACAAAGTTTAATGTAATGCTAAATGTAATGCTAAATGCCGCTTAGTCTTTTATGGTAAAATGTGTTTTGTTCATATGCAAGTAAATGAGCTGTGTAGGGGCCAGAGAAAATTGTATAGCTGGATACTTACACCTCTGCTCTTTGTGGTAATGTGTTACAGCTGCTGCTGGATGGCATTTTTTTGTCTTGACAGAGATGCTGAGGCTGGATCATCAGTTCACTCTTCCTTCCAAATCTGTTTTTTCAGAGCAGACTCTTGACAAACCCATTAACTAGAAAGCTATCAGATGAGTAAGTTCACAGTTCTTATAATTCTACAAGCTTCAGTTATTGAGGTCTAGGACTGTTGTACCAAAAATAGAATAAAATTGTCTTGAGGAAGTGACTGCTATTGACTGACACAGATGACACTTGGCATACTTATCTGAAAAAAATTACACTGCATTTAAAGAAAAACATGCAAAATCTGATTAGTTAGCAATACAAGGAGTGTATTTTCCCTGATCTCTCAAGGAACTACAACTTTCTGCATTCATTCTTTTCCAGCCTGTATCATCATCTAATTATAGAGCTGCTGGTAAGTACTTCTGGCTCCCAGAAATGGCTGAAGGAATTACACACAGTTAAGTTTTAATCACCCACTGGGCAAAGTGATTGCAATGAAGACAAGAAATAGGCATGCAGGTAAGCGCAGTGCAAAGGGGAGAATTAACAGTTCTTGTAGAAAGAAGTCTCAGCTTATAAATCTAGTTCTTTGAAGGGGTTTTAACATACTTAAGTGTAGGCCTATCATGTTAGGCAGTGAAGGAATTCCAGTTGAAATTACGGTCATGCACATAGCCTGCTGGAATTAGACTACAGATTATTACATTGCACAATTTATTTACAATATATCCTTATAGTATAATTTTTGCTTTTTCTCATGGGATACAATAGTATTTAGGTAGAGAATTTTATTTTGCACAGTTTCAAAAGCACGAATGGTTTTATTTAAAATATTTCAGTGATAAAATTTCGTTTACTTGATTATCCAAAGAATGCACTCACAGCACTAACATGTAAAATATTTATTTGGTCTTTCCACCTCTGTTTTTTATTGGTACTTTTCTCCTGCTGACCATTAATGATCAGTTACAGTCCTAGGGCATCCTGTAACTTGAGGTGTTTTGTGCATTGAAGGCTTTCACTCCATGCATTGACAAAGCTCCTGAGCACTGTAGCAGGGGCGTGATGTGCAAGCTGTCAGTCTGTCTGCCTTCATTGATTACAAACCTCTTACCTTCCCACCCCTGGATGAGTGTGCTAAGTACTTTGGAACTAGGAGCTTTCAAGCATCTAAGATCATCACTGTTTGTTTCATAGAAAGTATCTACTTGTTTTTAAACTTGTGCTATCACATGCTAGTTGGAAGTTTAAATATCCCTGCATAAGGCAGCAGTTTTCTTAAGCAGAGAACTCCTCTATCAGTTGTACTCTGACTTTCACGGAAGTGGGGCAACTAGCATTGTCTAAACTATTGGAGGGGGAAGTGAAAAGGTACTTCAGACACTTTGGGAAAAACAAGTGAAATACTTTTGTGGTAACTTTTATTGCCTTCACCTGAATTTCACATACATGGTGGATTCTTGTAGGCTGTCATTATGTATATTTTTCTTAAAATTTCCCCTTTCCTAACTTGCACCAGCAGAATCTTCATTTCAGGTTTTGTCTTCTTTTTTATAAATATGCTTTTTATCCAGTGTAATAATTTCTTTTGGGATTTCCCTGCTCCTGAGATTTTATAGGTGTAATGACATCTTTGGTACCTATTCAACTAATCTGTATGTTTGTACATGTAGACCCACCTTGTCTAAAATATTTGCTTGTGCATAATGATTATTGTGATGCATTCAGACCATGATAGAAGTCTCTAAGTAAAGGAGAGAAAGTGGGGGAAATTCCAGAAGTTTCTTGCAGTGTTGAGAATCAGGAATTTTACAAGTAAAAACACATCCATCCAAAGAAGTATCAGCATTTTTGGAGCTGTCACCAGTCTGGTGACACCAGGTTTGTTGAGTTGTTTTACTAGTTTTTCTACTTTTTTTTCCCCACCAGATAAAATCTTGTGACTGTAGGACTGTAATAGAGCAAAGCTACACTTGTGATGTCATTTCTTGGAAGATTTGCCTACCTAGCTGCAGGGATAGATTTTGTTGTAATATTAGTTTTGTCACAGTCTGTGTTTTGAACATTAATGTTGGGGTCATTCATGCCTGAGACAGTGGAGATCTGGTTGGCTTTGCCGAGATTCTTAATGATGTTGATGTTGTATTTGGCGGTTTCCACAAAACTATTTTCTAGTAACCAACCATCTGATTCACCCTCCAGATCTCCTAGCAGAAGGACATTCTTCATGGCTGTCTGTAGGTACCGGACACCAATGAGTACAGAGAGCTGTAAGAAACAGTTCATGATTAAAGAGCTGAAATTGCAGCCTCAGTCCTATCACTCAGTTTTCTGACTTGTGTATTTACAGGCCTCATAACTGCGTAAAGCAGACAGACTCTTTATCCTAACAATATGTCTAACCACTTTTCCAGTTAATTGCATTTTAAAAAAAAGATAGTGGGGAGAAATGGATTGATTCTCTCTTCATTCTTCAGGTAGCAATCCTCCTTGCATATAAACACCTAGAATTACTCATGAACCTTGTAGCCTCAGAGACTGCAACTAACTGATGTCAAATGGATGATCAACTAATGGATCCATCAGTCACTGGGAAAGAAAAAATTGTAGTATGTTAATTTCAGTGGATTTTTTTTCCACTGACATTAAATCCATATTTCTTCCGAGGAGGTTTAATCATTCCCTTGTAAGCCATATGTGTCAAGCATGCCAAGGCATGAAATTTAAGAAGGATGGCAGAGGCTGAAGTCTAAGCTTAAGAAAAAGCTCCACTTTCATTGTTCTGTTGGAATCAGGACCAGCTTGTCAATATTTAAGGGAACACAGAGAGCTGCCTCACAGCTTTTCACATGCTTCAGGTTATTTCTGGCACCACAACCCCTCCTAGAACTGCCTGAGGACTGTTTTGAACTACTTAAATTACAATGTTAATGTTTATGTAATAAATAGAGCAAGAGTCAGAAAACTAAAACATACAAAAAAGGTAAGAAAACTGTATTGGAGCCTGTGCCATTGGAGCGTCCTTTACTTGCCGATGACAACATCCAGAGAGCTCTTCTTTATAGACGTCAGCAGGAACACTGCAGCTTTGCAGCTGTGTAGCTTGCCTGTGATGTGCTTATTTTGATTGCATAACCAGCAGCCCAATCTACTTCTAAAAGGATGATATGCCATGACTACAAGTATTGTCTATATCGTGAAACTATGTAATATAAAAAGGAGGCTTTGAGATATTAATAAAATGCTCAATTTTAATTATAAAGAAAATTAATGCATTGAGCCAAAGACCTACTTATATTTTATATATTTCTTAAAACTGACTTAAAACAACACTCAGACCTTCTCACCAAATTTCCTTGCAGTTGTGTCACTTCATTTATCATCCTGTATCTGATCCCATAAATGCATCAGGGAAGGGAATATGCTATATTCTATTGAAAAAGCTTTATAAATTGTATACGTGGTTTCTGATAGTTCTCATCCTCAACAAGATTTCCTTCTACTCTGTGGACTTTGGAAAAGTTGTCTTTGCTAAAAGAAATCCTTCAACATTCCTGAAGTGCTTGTGGCCTTTGTACTGGATGCTGAGGAACTTCTCATGTGTTACACTGTCATTGTTTTCCATCTTGGAGAGACAGAAGACTCATTAATGTGATAAAGACCATTTTTGTGAGACTTACCTCGAACAACCAAATAAGCAATGCTGCAATACCAATGGATCTCATGATACCAGTGTAGTAATCCAGCAGGGCCTGTCTGCACCCCTTCATCCAGATATTGAGCTCCTCTGTGAGGAAATCGTAGTTGTAGTGAGCACTGTTGTTTGTCAGCTGGTACTGGATGCAGGGCCGTGGTGAGCTGGGATTGCAGCAGCTGAAGGGGACTCCATCCACCAAGAACTTCCCATCAACGTTGCTCTTCAGACGACTGCAACAGGACAAAGTCTGGGCATTACAAACCTGGTGGCAGCAGCAGGCAATGCCTGTGATTTTAGAATAACACAACTCTGCTGCAATGTAGGCCTCTCCAACATAACAAAAGGAAAATAAGGATATACTTTCCACTGGAAAAGTTGTTTACTGCAGGAAGACTGAATATTGGATTTGCTGTATTTAAGTGTGGTGTAGGAGATGCTGCCTTTTTAGGTATCTTTGTGCTGAATACTAAAGACAATTTTTGGACTTGTTTATCTTGGTGGAATTCTAATGGAAGTTATATCCCTGGAAATCCTGTGTTTTACTACTTCTGGATTAATTTTTCAGCATAATCATTCCATGAGAGGGATCCTAATACAAGAACAACTTTGTATGCCACAGGAAGCACTGGAAATCATCTACTGGCCTTTTGCCACTGTACCCATTGCAAGGGCTGGTCCAGCACATGTTTTGAGACTAATTCACAAGGGAATTTCTACTTCTTGTAACTTCACTTTCTGTAACTTTAAGAAATGTATTTGTTGCTAAAAATACTCATTTCCCTCCTCTATAAGATCAGGTGGAAAACAAGTGGTGAAAGAAGAAAGATAAAGGGGAATAGGAAAAAAATCAGAGAATGGGAAGAGAACACAGTCTCAAATTAACCAAGATTTTCTGGAAGATAAATGAATCCTTTGCATCTGTTTTCTTCCAAGAAAGAGATTTTCCAGAACCTGGACAGTATCTAAGATGCTGAGAGACACTCTCACACCTTGGGGAAGCAGCCTCTAAGCATGTATCTATTCTTATGCTTGGTGGAAAAGGCTGATTTCCTGAGACAGCCCCATGGGTGAGAACCATGTTCTGGTTTATCAAGTCCAGGCCATTTACCCTTTGTAAAGGGACCAGAATACAGGATAGATAATTCCACTTAGATATACAGCATTCACTATTTGCCAATAGTAAATTTTCTAGTATTTTCCAAAACTTACTCATTTATTAATGTTTGCAAATAATATTTTTCTGTTCCAATACAGCTGATCTAAATGAGAGGGAAGGAAATCATTAAAAGAAGCTCATTAGGTAAACAGAGCAGAAACACCGTGGTCCAGTCTTGACCTGGAATTTGGGACCTTCAAATTAATAAATGTAACCTTCAAATGTAACACAAGCTGCTAGGAAGCTCAGTATTTGTGTCAGTGCTATGATGGCGGAAAAATTGCTTTTGTTTTATTGCTGTGAGCCCACTAAATACAACCTCCTTTTTTGTTCCTTGTTCTTTTCTTCCTCTAATTTGGGTTGTAGTGGTTTTTTTTGTTTTACTTAAAATTCTCTCAAAAACATTTTCCTCAAAGTTCTTTCAGGTAAACCAGGAAGTTCACCTGCCATTTCCTGCTCCCATAAGGAGTGGGATAGGCATAAATTTTTCTCCATTTTCAAGTCTAGCTTTTCATTTTGTTGCCACCATATCCCTGACTGAAGTGTGTGAGCCATGTTGTGAGCATAGGCAAAAGCACTGGAAGGGAAGGGAGCCAGAGAGGCACAAACCAGAGGGCTCCAATGTGGGAAGAGAAGAGAAAGCTCACAGAGGAGAAAGACTGGCACATTGTGAAAGGGAAGATCTTACCTGGGATGGCAAAATGCCCTCCATGTTTCAAGGTATTATATATATTTAATGACCCCAATATAGTACAGCATTTAAGATGGTTGAAATACAATCTCTTAAACTCTTTTGATTCCAAGCATCAATTAAAACACTTTCTTTTGTTCTGGGAGAGGTATAAAGAGGAATCCTTTCTACTGCCAACAGTAGCAGTTTTCAGACTTGGGTTATATCCTCCTGCCACTGTGTTTCCTCTGCTAGTGGCAAATTAAAAAATTTAAAAATTATTTCACTTGTGTCTTGGTACTGTTAGAAGGGAAGACTTCAGTAAAAGAACTGGTGGAGCAACACATTCACTGCTATTTGCTGTTGCAATTCAAAGTAGTTATGGTATTGTAAAGCAAATCTTTGCTTTTGAGCAAAGATGATTTTTACCCAACCAAAGCAATGGTAGCATTGTCCTGCTGTAACCTCATGTTCCTACCATTCCCACTGACTGTTTCCATGCCTTGTTAAATTGTGGTGTTGGCAAGAGATCTGTAGAAGAGGGTTTTGCAGGAAGGTGAAAAGTTCAGTTTTGCAAAGCTTACATGTGAGTTCACAGTAGGTCAGATCTCACCTCCTTTGCCTCTTGATGTACAAACTACTGACAGAGAGAAGTTGAAACCAAGAAAGACTTGATTCCTTCTCCATCCTTTCAGAACATTTCCAGCTGGACTTTGCTTCCAAGGATTTCATATCAAATGTTTCACTACTAGATTTTTGGAAGTCATGGTATAGTTTTGTTATACAGCACCAACTTGGATTCTGCCAGTCAAGATAAAATCAAGCAATCTATCCACAGCAAAAGACATTTACAAATTACTTCCCTCACACACATTTCACTGCCACCTTCTGCCTAAATGGGGCAAAAGCTAACTGACAGTGTATTCTCAAAACAATGGCAGAGCACAGAGGAGCCTGCAGAATAAAACAGAACTTAATTAAAACCCTGGGTAGAACATTACTGTTTCTGCCTCTCTCACAGACATAAAAGGAAGTATATTTTACTTTTGACCTCACACTAAGCTACTACTCCTAAATTCCTGGGGATGGTCTTTGTTGTCATGTCACTTTTCAGCATAGACCCAAGACTTGAAACAGCTCTGGTCAGTCTGTTCTGTGTGACACTTTCTAACTTCTCTCTTGAGAATGCCTGTATTGCTTTATTTCCACAGACAAGTGTCTTCTGTATGCTGATGCCCTCTTGTTTGTATTCTCCGAGGTCCTGCCCTCTGGTATATTTGCAGCTCTCTATATATGCTTTGCTATGATGGCAGTTTCAAATTGCAAATTCTGTAAAATTAAGACCTTTGGCCTCCCTTTCTCTGGCTTTATTGTAACTGATTTTTGAGTTCAACAAAATGCAGCATTTACAAATGCCAGTCAAGCTCTTTCCATTTGTCTTTCCTGGGAATATGAAGCTACTACTCTCTTGTAAGCGAAGACCTTTTTCAGCTTTAGAAGAATTATTACAGACTGGATTGTCTACTTTTGTAAGTTTTAAATTTTTACCTTTTCTGTAAGTATTACCACTCTTCTTTTTGTGCATATAATTTCATAGTTGCTACATCATGTGAAGCACCACCAGTAGAAAGAAATGGGGGATTTCTGCTTTTTATGCAGTGTATGTGGTGTTTGGCAGTTTCTCACATGTGAACATACCCATTTGAACTTGGGATTGCAAAGTCTAATACCTTGAAGAAGAGGGGTCTTTCAGTGCTTAGAATTGACTGTGCAAGGTACTGATAGTACAATCCTTTTTTTCTTACTGTTATCAGCTCACTATAAATGAAAGTCAAAATTTGAGGTAGCTAATTCACCACACTGAAAAAGGAAATACATCTCCGCTTTGTTTAGCATCCCTAAAGGCTTAGCAAAAGGCAGCTTTTGATTGTGCGTGTATTTAGTATATTTTGTGAGTAACCTGGTCATTCTACATTTTTTAAAATTAAGATACAAAGGTCCAGAAAAAAGGGCTTTCCAGTCCCAAAAGAGTTTTTCTTCTAGAATTTTTTGATGTGACTGATAAATACTTACTCCAGAACCTCCTTGGAAGCCATATTCAGATACCGAGGAGATACCCACTGAATTTCAAACCAGTCTCTAAAGCCATTGTTTCCACAGCAACGGAATCCAATTTGTAACAAATCCACTGTTTTCTTTAAGAAACATCGCCCAGGTATGTCTGTGTCTTTATAGAACTTAATGGCATCCCTCAGTCCCAGATAGAGAGACTCTTCCAGCTCGTTCCTCATGGTATAGCACATGAGAGCACCCACCAGGATGCAGAAGGTAAAACAGAAGGTACATACGATGTATGGCAGCATTACTAGTTTCCAGCGAGAGAACTTGTTTGCATCTGAGCAGTCATAGCAGATTTTGCCACCCAGAAAGTTGATGATACATGCTATGACACCTACAGAGATCAGCATGTTGGGGACAGAGTTAATGTCCCCTTTTGCCATCACTTCATTGCGCTTCTTGATCTCTATTTTCAGAAAGAGGCCAAGACTGAAGAGAATGATCCCACTCACTACAGAAACCCAGTTGAGGATCCATAAGATCTGAGCCAATTTGTCCCTCTTGGTTTTGGTGAATTTGACTTTGAGGACAGCCATAGTCAGACATGCATTAGGAAAAGAAGCGTAGGTCAAGAGAAGCTCATAAGCTGATTAGGAGCATGGATCCAAGGCGTGCAGTGGAAATCTGAAGAAGAGGGAGAGAGATTACTGTCTGTTTGACCAGGTATTTATAGAGCCTACAAAAGAATTTCCTGTACAGCCTCACGCACTCTGAGTCCTGCCAAGGGAGTGCCCCAGTGAAATTTATTGCCTAAATTTTGTAACAATGTGAACCACTTTAAAAAAATAAGTTCTAAGGACCAACTAGAGCAATTAAAAATAAGTGAATAGTATGAACAGAGACTCTGGATTCCTAGGAATTTTTGTCAAGACCAATTTACTGTGCTGACCTGATATCTAAAAGTGAACTACTCTGCTGTCTTTCCCTTCAGAAGACTCCCAGCATCTTTCCCTTCTACTTGTTGCCTGTATTTTTTTTAACAATTACAGGTATTTATTATTACTAGATTCCTGTGTTATTGTCAGGTTTGTGTTCAAAAGTTGAATAAACATATATACAGCCTTCTTTTTTTCTTTCCAGAAATCTTGCTTGTCTTGTTCCTTTAGGAACTCTCATTAGAGTGATTTTATATTGTAAAACTCTGCATTATATAATTATATGGTAATTTATTTCCAGTAATACAATGGCATTTATAAACAGTAAAGTGTAATCCTGTAAATCTGGGGAAAGAGAGATATATAAGCAGCATGATATTTTCTATGTTAGTGGATGCTATTACTGAATAAAACTTGTATCAGTGAAAACAGCATGAAAAACACCTGGGGACAGACAAGCTGGACAGAAGTAGGGCTGCACTGACCCAGTAGAGGGTCCCCAGCTGCAGTGAAGCTTAGCATTGGATAAGCAGCTTGTTGCAGAGTGCAGTTGAAAAAGGCAGCAGAATCCCAGCATCTTCATGTGTTTACATCGGAAGGAATCAGTTCAGTTTGTACAGGCAAGGAATAGGTTGTGTGATTCATACTAGGATATAGTTAAATATCTTCATACACTAAGATTTTAAGGCCTGTGATACCTAATTAATTCAAGTTTCATTTATTTACTCCTGCATTTACAGAGAAAACTAATTCCTCTCAAAGCTATTCAGCTCTGTGTATCTTTTGTACAATACAGAGAATAGTGTGCAAAATGCACAGTATTCTTCCTTATCAGTCTATTTCCAGAGGTGTTGAGGCCAGCAGCTTTCTGAATTTTAAAGTTCAGAAATAGGGTCCTAGTTTTAATGATTTTTAAGGTTGATAATTAATTATGGCTGAATATTTATTGTGATTATATTGTGATAATCATATAAATGATAGACACCTTACAGAAATGTCCAGAGAATAGTCATTTATAAAATTACACCACTTGCTTAACACCATTTTTCTCCAGTACTGTTCAGACCTCATTTGAAGGGATCATGCTCTGGTGGTACAGAATTAAGCCTCCCTATAAGTTCAGCTGACAGCCTGAATAAGCCTGCTAAGCCTGGAGACAGTATCTTTGATTGCTTCACCAGTTAAGCAGTTCTTGACTTGACCTTAAATAACTGTAAATGATGGCTGCTAATAGATCTATTTGCCCCTGATGCCGAGGCCTCAGAGCTTACAACAGTGAGAAGCTGTTGTGAAATTTACTGATTGCTGATACACAGCTCATGTTCAATGGCCAGCAGACATGAATGCATCACTCACTGTTCATTTCTGTGAAACACATGCATATATTTGAACAATGCCTCAAATTGTTCAGCACACATTTAGTTACAGTGTCACTGAAAACACCCTACCTGCTAAACATATTTAGTTTTACCATTTGGACAAAAGTTGTAAATAGTTTTACTCTACTTAAAATTAATCTGCTCTAGAGACATTGTTGATTTTGGAGACTTTGTCATACTCTAGCTGTAAAGAAATTTGGAGATTTTGAGACTTTGTCATACTCTAGCTGTAAAGAAATTTGAAGTTGAGTTCCATCAGCGGGGATACATTCAATCTCATGGAGCTATTCCATCCCCAATTTTCAGATGCCTGATGTTTTAAAAAAGTTAAAAACCTCTGTGCAAGAAAAATTCTCCTAGTAATTCCTTGTCTCCAGAAATTCTCATGAGGGATTCTTAGCTTCCTTTCTGAATTTTTAGTATTGTTGTAGGATCAGATTTCACAGAATATTGACATTTCTCTTACAGTGCTACACACACCAGCAGCAAAAGATCTGTGATTTCATGGAGTCCTAGGGCCAGATAAAGGGGTGAAATGACTGGTTGTTGTAGTTCAAAGGCCACTTGTTGACTGATCCTGGCTGTCACTGATATGTTTGGGATTGATCTTTGGGAGACACCGTACTTCTCATGAAACCTTGAGTACATTGAGTCTGGGACAGAAGAGCAAGTGATCTATTCCATTCCTTGTTCCTAGCCTTCTACATGGATACTTATGTTAAGATTTTCACCTGTGCTAACAGTTTACTGGATTTATTTCTGATAATAAGACTCTCTTCACATCAGGAAGAATTTTATAAACGCATCATAACATTAGTCTTTCCCTGTTTAACAAAGTATTGAATACATTTATTAGTGTAAGATCTATTGTAACACATGCACAGCTGCGTAGTATAATTTTTTGAGCACCATGAAGAAAGTTTTTCCAGCTGAAAGCGCTGAACTGCAGTTATGAGCTAAAAATGTCAGTCTTGCTCTGCAACATGTGTCTGTTGTTCACCAAGTCATAGTTGGCAGTGGGTTACTGTAAAGCCACAAATGCTCCCAGCATTTCAGTGGAACTAACGCCTCTGTCATAGTTCTTAAAAACTTTGCGTGTGAGCCACTTCAGAGTTATGAATCATATACACACAGACGTACTTTCCCCAGCTATGGGACAGACCTGGATTTTATTCTATAAAGGGAGAAATACTTCTTTCAACAAAAGAAGACAAATAAATGTGGAAATCTCTCCCATACTATCAATACTGTTCTCAAGCTTTCTTTGTCTAATTAAAATTGATTTAACTTTAAACACAGTTTCCATCACCATACAATTTGCTTCCAAGATGTCACCTAGCTGTTCCTTTGCTATCAAATTCCCCTAACTATATTGAACAAGACATAGCACAGCTATTTTTTAATAATATTTACTTATTAGATACAAATTGTTCAGAGAAATTTTGCAATTTTGTCATAAACAAGCCACATCTTATCTTACTGATTTCGCTAAAATCTGCTATTTTAGCTAAACATACATTGCTATTTGTGACATTGTAAAAGAAACCACTAACCTGCTTCAGAGGACTGAACAGGATCTTGAAACTGGTAACTTGTTGAATTCAATAGAGAAAATACCTGAATTGGACATCCTGAGGATGACTGAAATACTGATCTCCTGATGTTTCAGTAGTTGCTCTGTCTTCACACTGACTCACCAATGGAGATGGAGAAAACCGCTTCAACTCTCCTGCCTGTGGTAATCTCTCCTTCATCTCTAATCATAGCTAAGAGATTTATTTCAAGGTTCTTATGCCACCAGATTAAATCCTACAAAACAGGCCAATTAACTGAGTGTGAACTGAGACCTCACCAACAAAATGGTTTATAGGACTTTCTTCTACCTTTTTACCCAGCTGCAGATTTGGGCTAGTAAGCAACAGAACTGTTTTTCAGTACCTGCCAATGTCTTCAATAGCTCTTAACTTTTTTTTTAACAATAAATATGCCTTCAAAGGAGGGAAGAATGAGAATAATCAAACTTTGTGATTCTGTGGGAAGGGAAAAATCTATCTTAGGCAACTATCATGAATATCCATTATTATGCTCCTTATCCATCATTCCATACTTTGTTGCTTTGGATGCAATTTTCTGTTCTCTGTGTATTGAATGTGATTGTCCTAGAAAAGAATTCAAGTATCCAAGAGCAATGGGATCATCTGTATGATTCATGGTAGATTCTGGTTTGGGAAGCCTTCCAGGTTCAAGAAAAATCTAGTAGAAACCTCTGTCCTAGTCTCTTATCTAGCTCTATTCCAAACCAGAAGCAAAAGCGGAAGTGTCATGTCCTCTGGCATTTCTGAGCACAGCACATAGCAATCTGTGGGACAGACATGGCTGTTTTGAACTGGCAACAGTGGTGGCAACAAGCTGAGTCTGCAGCAGGGCTTGGTCAAGTTAGAGGTGATGTCAGTACCAGAACTGAATCCCTAAGCAGGACCAGGTTTGAGTTGTAGGCTTGAGCTTAGCACAGCAGAGAGAGTTTGTTCAGTGGGCACATGACTAACTGCAAGAGACCCTGCACCAGGCACTGTAAATGTGTAGAAATATTCTCAGAAGCATAAACTGTCATCTCCTGGCTTATGATAGGCAATGAACCAGTAGCCTGATAGGACTGTGATTTTAACTCTGTGTTCTGGCAGTACAATGGCTTTATCCTGCCTGTGTCCTAATGATTCAGAGCATCTGTGATACATCTGGGACCTGTTGGACCGACTGCATATGAGCCACACAAATGCTTGCATATGATCAAATACACCGCAATAGCATTGAATTAATCCTGTGCACGACTCATTCATGCTTTGGATTTGCAGCACTCATGCAGACCACAGGGAATATTTTAGATCTGTTCAAATGTGTTGGTTTGTGTACAGATTAACTCCACAGAAGTATATTCAAAGGTATAACGAATTCCTTGGGTATAGCACAAGCACACAAATGTACACATTTTGAGCTATTTTTCAGCTGGAATGTGATATATTAGAAATCCTGGACAAATTGCTGTAGTACTTTCCTATGCTAAAAAAAGTTCACTTGTGAAAATTCTACCCATTTGCAGAACTACAAACGTGTTATCCCTGAGTGTTAGAAAATGTTACTTCCTCAGTTACCTAGTAGCAGAAAACTGCACCTTCCCTGTGGCTGCTTTGCAGCACAAACCTCGTAGTGGCATGCATAGAAGCAAACAAGCAGGAGATGGCAGTGCTGCTATAGGAAGGCTTTTTCTACAATACAGAGCAAGAA